CTATTTTACCTTTTATCTTAATTATTTAAATCTAGTCAAACCTCCTACCCTAAAATAATTAGGATATTTTAGTAAATTTATAAATTACAAAATAGCACGATACGATCAAATTAACCAAACAATTAAAATGTTATTAAACAACAACAAACAATACAGTCTAGTCAAACATTGTATCTACCATACAATACAATACATTATGAAACAATGGGTAACAATAATCCAAACAAAGTGTACACTTCTCAGTTTATGAGAAAATTTTAGCGCCTCAGAACTTTGCACGTATGCTAAAGGCAAGAACACTACATCAAAAATGAGTTTTAGTCGTAATTAATTAGTAATTGCCGCTAAATATGTATTTTTAGCGGCAATTAACACTCTTTGTATATGTCCCTAAAGGTTTCAGCGACATTGAATCTAAGGACACTTAACTAATGTCGGTAAAGACTTTAACACTCTATATGAATGTGTCTTTTATTGCCGCTAAAAGTTATTTTTGTTGTAGTGAAAGTGTCAAATATTACTAGAAATTAAATAGTGTCTACTGACATTTTCCAGTCATATTCTTGAAAAATAGTCTTTGTTATGAAATTTCAAATTACACAAGTGAAACAGTCTAACTAGAAAAAGACTCTCTCTATTACTTTGAGAAGAGAATCGTTGGTTTGACCGACGAACTACATGAGAAAATAGACCTTCTTTCTTTGAAGCAAGATTTTTGGAAAGTAACAATTCCATTCAGTTCACTTTCGGAAAATTTGCTGGTCGCCGATTAGTTCGTTATGCGCCGCCAGTGGCCTCAACTCAAAGGCGCAGATTGATCTCTCTGATTGAGCCTGCATTCATTTATTTATATTCAACTTGACACGTGGAAAGGGCTTACATGAGTCTATGACATTATCTTAAATTTCATTTTTTGGAATTCGAAACTTTAACACAAATTTTATGGCATGTTTTAAGATAATGGCTTTGAAATGGTGAGGGGAAGTTTTGCTTTTCTGCCTTGAAATATAGACAAGATTTGGCATAAAAATATTTTTAGTGTCTCTGTCTTTGTTGTTTGCCAATAAAACCTGCTTGAACAATTTTTGGGTAAAAAAGAAAGTGAGTTATATTATGAAAGGATTATAATAAGTTATATACAATCATTATTCACTACCAAGTTACATTATAATATACAGTATGTAATATACCTAGGCCTCATAAACAACCTAATAGGATCCGAGTCATCCTTAAAGTTATACGAGTTCAATAAAATTTAATAATTTTGATTCAAATCACCTTATACGTTTACATTAATTATAATCTATCTAGAATTCAGTAAATTAAAAAAAAGTATAATTTATAAATTACAAACCACGAGTTTATCTTTATAGCTTGATAAGTGACTTGTATGAACACTTTTTACTTACCAATCCTTATAAGTTTAATACATTGTACAAATTATGCTAATATATAAAACTTAAAAAATCATTATAAAATAGTGAGTTCATCTAATGAATTATGGATTCAAAAGATTGACTAATTTATGAGTTCTAAGTTCTAAACAATATAATTATTTTTGTTATGCATAAATTATTTATGCATATGTATTAAGTAATTCTTAACTCACATAGTCAAAAATATTAAATTCTACCGAACCCGTTATTTAAACTTTAGCTTCGTTCTTGACAACAATAATAACATTATCATATATGATCTTATAAAATGAGGTCTGAAAAAAATAAAATATCCACGAATTGATCTTATCCCTAACTACCTTATACAAAAATATAAAAATATTTTCAATAAACTATTTTTTTAAAAAAAAAATCACAAACCTGAATAATAGAGGGATGATGATGGGGAGTAAATCCATCAGATGAATATTTGGTATAAGCTTGTTGTTCATCTTCATAGCTAATATACTCTTCATTTACTTTTCCTTTCTCCACAACATTATTTATTCTAGTAATCATGTTTCCATACATCAACTGCATGGATACATACAAAAATAATTATTGCTCATATATATTATTTTGAGTTTAGTAAATATATTTATATTATCATGTATGGCATGTAATGAATAAACCAAACAAACTACTTCTACATATCTTGTGGGTCTAATGCTGGTTGACCTTTTTCTTCAAGCTAGTGCCACGTAGATCGAAAAGGATAAAAATTTACTTCTAAAATAAGTTCAGGAGGATAATAAGACCTTAGTATAGTATAAATGTCTTTGTGATTCCGGGCATAGGTTGAGGGGATATTTGTACATTTTCCTACTTTTTTTATACGAAAGGTGGAATATTACGTGTTCCGATTAGATTACTTTGTTCTAAAAAGAATGATATATGTTTGATTTATATTTTTCTTTTATTATCTTCTCATAAATTTTACTTATTATATTTTAAGATGTTAAGTTTCAAATATTTTACAATGTGATACTACACAAGTATTTTTAAATTATGATCGAAATTTCAGAGAGATTTCTTATCAAACTATGGTTCCATTACCCCAAACTCATTTTTTTTAGTAATTTTGTAAACTTTTTTATTTAAGTGACACACTTCATAACTCTACACAATTGATATGTGTGAGAGATATTTGGATACCTGAAATTATTAAAAAAAAATGAGTTCGAAGAAGGTGCATCTATGAGATAACTGAAACGCAATAAATATAAAATACCTTAATTTTATGAGACTGAGAATTTTTGAAATAATTATCAGAACTGAAATATGCATCTGGACACCTTTCCACTACTCCATTTTCCCTGCAAAATGGTAAACAGTACACACCGAATCTCGCGGCCTCCGCGAGAGCAAACAGAGTAAGCTCCGATCCACGGTCATCTGACACGTATATCGAGAACTTCTCTGTCGAGTAATCATATGCCAACACGAACAGAACCGTGTTGGCTACATTAATCGGCGGCTCCCTATATGGGTCCGCCGTACATATAAAAACATCAAGCTTCTTATATGGTAAGCATTTAAAATATAATTTCTCTTTTATCCTTATTGGTCCCACTTAATTTTTTGATACATTTATGAGGAGAGAGAAAAGTGAATTACTTTTTTGAAGGGAAATTTGATAAATATTTCAAAGTATTCATTATTTCTTAAACTCCGTATCAAATCAAATATTGCCACATAAAATGGAACGGAGAAAGTACTCATAATTATTAAGTACTCCTAGATAGTAGGTAGAGGCTTGGAGATATCATTGATGCTCAATTAAACAATCTTTGTTAAAAAGTTACGTATATTATAATAGCAATAATAATTATGCATTAGTCTGGATAAAATAATTTGGAATTTGCAATACAAACTCTTATCAATTAAATAAGAGAGACGTACTCGAATGGTAAACATTTCTCAATCTCTAATCCTAAGATTAGAAATTCGAGTCACCAAATAAGTAAAAGAATAATAAAATAATTTTTGTGATGCAATAGCCAACGTAATGGCCAAATTTAAATCATGTATGACTTCAAAAGTGGTGCATGTGATGGTCATGCATGAGTTCACATTAATGGATTATTGAGGTGCATTTTAAGGTCCATCGTTCCATGCAGAATTACATAGATCAAATTATCTCAAACGATTTTTTTTTTTATTTTTCTCGATTATTTATATTTTTTTTATGTACTTAATCAATAATCTTATCTAATCTTGTATGTTCGTAAACTTACATTATTTTTTCTTACTCTTATATTTCACCATGGATGACGAAATTTCTTAACAATATGCATACATATTCTTGGGTTATTTAGATTTTGAAGTTTATGTATTATACTACGATCTCAAGTTGTATCAACTATCAAGGTAAACTCATAGGGATGATCAAGATGAAAATATGTCAAATATTCATCCACATTTGATGTTTCATCAAAACAAATAATTTAAAACTGATAATAAATAATATTTTATTTAAGTGAAAATGCATATTAACGAGTATAAAAAAAAATACGTATTTTTGCATTAATTAATTTAGTGTAATTTTGAGTACAATAAACCCTTGTAGTAAATTGGCCCCTTCTCTAGACCTTGCACATAGAAAAAGCTTTAGTACACCGAATTATTTTTTTTTTTCGAGTTTAAATTTAAGGTTCTAGAAGCTTTCTAGTCAATGAAGTGAGGTGTAGGGTTCCAAAGATATATGGTGATTCCAAATTCCAATTCATGTATATATAAACTATACAACATAGAATTAGTGAAGTTCAAAGTCAAGGTACTATAATCTATATGTTACATATAATTTACTATAATAACATATCTATACACAACAAATATATTATTGATGGTGTATATGTTGGGTATATTTTGGCCATATATAAATACGCCGAAGTCATGTGTGGCCCCTTATTGATGGTGTACATGGTTAAAACTAAATAAAAGAATATCTAAAATTGAAGTGTAGCTTGATATTATATTTTACATGAAAAAATAATAACAAGCATTATATTATTTTTTGTTTTTTTTTGTTCGTTGTCTCGTACCAGTATTAAAGTTTCTCTAATTAAGAATCGCATCACGTAAAAACTCATTCTTGAAAAGCACTCCTACTTTGAATTTTTTCTAATACTCAAAGCAAAAGCAAAATCTCTGATTAAAAAGATAATATCATCATCCGTTGCACCATATCTACGATCAAACATATGCCTTCATCTCACTTCATTGACTATCTAAGTCAGGATTGTTAATAAGCAATGTTAATTATGAAAAATCATACAAACATATAAAACATTATGACAATTAACGGTATCATTTTTTTCAAAAAAAATAATTATATCCATATTCTCATTCAAATTAATATTAATATACATATATCATAAAACATTCTAACGAAGCAGTGTCAGAAGACACGATACAAAAGAGGATGACATAATCGCAAGAAAGAAACAAGACAACTATAATCCATTGTGTTTACACCAAACCACATGAATATGCAATGGTCAAGTAACAAAATGAGGTGAGAATCCATTTAAATCAAACAAATTTAAGCAATAAACACACATATATAGAATATACGTCTCATATACTTATTGATTTTACATAAAACACTCGGTGTGAGTAAGTTTTTCATGTTGTAACAATGAGTAAGTACAACTATAGAGATACAACAATCAAACTTCCACCAGAATCATAAAGTTACATATACACAAGCTTCTAATACTAATAACTCCACTAAATGATGAAAAAAGATTCAACTATTTGCTTGTTATCAAGCTTATTCAACAAGACGACATAGTCTCATCCTCTACGCGTTATTATTGAAGATTGCAGATACCTGTTGTAAGTCAACAAGGCCGAAACTTTTTAAGAAATGAAGCTCACAATTGGGAAAACGCGATCAAGGACTTTTTAAGATGTATGAGGGATTTTAGTACAAAGGATATAACTTAGAAAGGCAAGTTGCAACCTTTATTCTCTTCCAAATTTTCATGTTGAAGCAGTTGTCTCACTTTCTAAACAAGACGGCGATTTGGTTCCTGCACTGAAACTTTTCATGTCTTGACTAGAACAAATGAAGATCCTCTTCGCGATGTTGCAGAACTCTCTGTGAATAATTGAGCACCATATTATGATATGCAAAGTATGAGAGATCTTACATGTAGCTATAAAATAATTCACGGACCGAGCTAGCTTATGAGTTTACGGGTCTAATGTATTAAGAAATTTACTTGATGTTGTAGGAACCCAGTTATATTTTTATATATTAACTTGAAATTGTTGTAGGAACCCATAAACCTCAAATCCTAGATTCACATATGAACTACATACTTTTAATTGTAAGTTGTAAATGGAGAAAGAATCACTTACGACCAAGGATAATCGCCCATAAGCATCATGTCACCTTCATCATCTGTAAAAACGATCTCCCATTTATTTCGTGCGTGGAGCTCTTCCTGGATATCGAACAACTCTTCGAGTTCTCTTAGGAGCTCATCATATCCATTCAGTTTTGTTAAATCCACAGCACGTCCCACAGCCACCCCTTGCATTTGAACCTTCTCAAGGAATTCATGTAAGTTACAAATTAATTTTTAATTCTATTGATGCTTTGGAGTAGTAACGAACATGGAAAAACACAATTTACTTTCTCGTTTTGGTTTTCATACCTTGGTGCGAGTTCTGGTGGAAGAAACCTGCTTGATGTGAACCTCCTTTGGTGGTGGATTCAGCTGCTCTTGCTTCTGATCTTCAGAATCTCTTGAAAGGCCAGAGTTGTCTTCTGAATCACCAGCAGAAGTCAAGTTTCCAGAGCACCCTTCAGCAGAGCCATCAGAATTGTTGGCTGGTTCTAGAGGCGGATTCTCATTAACAGAACCAAATGAGGGACATTTCAAGTCAATACCAAACAATCTACAGGATGTAATTGTACCACATTTTCTCTCATCATCTAGACTAGGAAGCAGGAGATCGTTCTGCTTTCCGAATTGTGAGGACGCAAAGCTTGGAAAAGCAGGCCGAGGTGAAGCACTTTTACTGGCTTCTGTCTCATCCAAAAGCATATTCAAAGAAGCGTTTACTTTAGAAGCTGACCAAATTCCATCGACACGAGCCTTAAAAGTACTGTTTGTGGCAGTTGAATTTGTTTGTGAAGTATGCAAGGAAAATGGATTATCACTACTTTGTCCTTCAATAACGGGGTTAAATTGCGCTGAGGGAATCCAAGCGGCTAGTGCAGCAGCAGGAACAGGTTCTAGCAGGAAAACAACGGAATAATAATCAAGAAAATGAAAATAGAAAACCAAATAGGAAGACTAAAAAAGTTTAAAAACATGCCATAGATTATGAATATGCTTGTTTCCACCTGAAGATTTGGGTTCGTTATGTGCTCGATGCCTTTTATTCTTCACCCCCATTGGTGGAACGAGAGGAGTAGCGACTGATGCCACAAATGGTTCGATGTCCCAAGGAGAAACTCTGTCAGGTCTTGGAACAGACGCAGGCTCATCCCATTGAACCTGGAAATATGGAAGAAAAATAATGAAATTTTACATCAATCCAAATGTATTGATTCATTCAATGTCGACAACAACCATATTATATCCACCTTCAATGATCGCCATTTTGAATCTTTCCACTGTGAGGAACTATCTTCAACTCCTACTATGGTACCTGTAAATCTGGGAAATTACGAAGGAACAACCAAAGAAAAATATAATTGAGATCAGAAATGCAGCATATTGAGCAACTTTATACGGTAGAGAAACATCTCGTTAATTTGAGCTTCAATAAAGTTGATGTTTTACCACCTTTTCTCAGGAATCTCTTCCCCTTCAAATTTCATCTTGAATCTCATGCCAACTGAATACCGATGCTTAACAGCCTCGAGATATTTGTTTAGACCTATGATAAACTGACTTGTTCTGAAGATTTTCCATACACAATATTGAGAACATAGGCAACATTTAGCATATTCTCACCCAAAAACAAAACTAATTCCAACATTGCTGAAAGGACATAACAAGGGCAGCCTGGTGCGTTAACCTCCCGCAATGCGAGAGGTCCAGGGAAGTGCCGGACCACAAGAGTCTATTGTATGCAACCTTACCCTGCATTTCTGCAAGAGGTTGTTTCTACAACTTGAATTTGTGACCTCTTGGTCACATGGTAACAATTTTACCAGTTGCGCCAAGGTTCCCCTTGACATCTAAAGTTCAATCTTTTAAGAAAAGGGATGCATAAGAGAAACCTCGGTTTGTAATAAACGACAAACATAGTCTGGGTCGTCACAGCATGAGATGCAGTAGCTAACACTCCTAGGTGCATGCTCTGACTTGAAATCACTGATTGTGGCATTGAGCTCGGTTGGCGAGCAAGTCGTCTAATTCCTATTCGGACTTCACCTTTTCCACTCCTAAACACAATATATTTGCAGAACATAATGAATAAATAGTGACAATTGTGACGTATATGATAGATTTAAACCGCAATAGACATATAAGCACCAGATATAAACCTCAAGAATACAAAAGAATCCCCCGTAACTAATCTCTTCGAGGAAACAAAGGTACTCCACCCTGTGGTAAGTAAATGCCTCCTGGGTTGGCCTGCTAGTCAAGAATCAAGAGTGAGCACTTGAGCCATATAACAATTTGATGACGTTTCATCGCTATCATATTTTTGTGGTTGTCAAACCAAATTGGACTACTAGTTGTCAAATAATTACCTCTAAATATATGTTTAAAATGCCACTCGAAGCCATGAAGGTCCTTGGCGACCAATTCCTGTGCTGGAGTCGCTTGGGTCATGTCCTGCATTAAAAATTATAGCATCATAAAATCAACAGGTAATGCATTTCAAAATGGACAGACTATAGAATGTAACAACAAATGAACAAATATATTACCAGGGGAGGCAGGCATTCGTTAGCATGTTTTCTGAGAATGGAAAATCCACCGTGAGTGCTCGTATCAGACGCAGTTAGAACCTTGCAGAAGAAATGAACTTTGGGCCTCGGAGGCTCGGGCAGGGACAGATCAGGACTAGTCGGCTCAACTTGCTAAATTGGATGAAAGCAATTATAGGAAAATTGGCCAACAGAACATAATAGACCAAGTGAACACAACAGAGTTTCATACAAGCAAGAAAGTAGGTTCTTTAAGTTCTTACATCTGCTTCGGGCAACAAAGCAATCTGTGCATAAACCTCATCAGAGTCTTGTTCAGCCTACAACAAATTTTCAATGAGAAAGTCCTCATTATAACTTCTTTTTTCTTCAGAAATGACCTGGAATTAGCTATGAACTTCATCGCTAATCTACGTCGAAATAGCTCGTACCTAACAAAATTATTTGATTGTAGTTCAACTACAAAATTTGTTTGTTGCTAATTCTTCTTTTTTTTTGGTAGTCTATTTATGCATGAACTTAATACATAGAAACATTACTGTTTAACTAAACTAACCAAGAAAACAGTGAAAGTACAGCTAATTACCAGAAGTTGAATGTGAAGAACGCGACAAAGGATCTTTGGTTGCAGATTGAACAATGGTATGCTCTGATTCAGCTCCTGATTTGTTGATGCCTCCAACTATCCATACCACAAAATCAAACTCATGAAAAACAACAATAACGTATATGGCAAACTTATGCACTACATCCACCTATTGGGGCCCCACTGAATCCAAATTTCGCACCGAATAATCTAGTTAGCACTCCATAACAAAGGAGACTTTATACCAAGTAGAGCTCCATCACGAGACCTTTGGTTAAGTACGAAAGGAATATGTACCACTCCATCACAAACCTTGTTACTTCTGCCTCTGATTCAAAACAAAATTAGTACCTATAATACCCACATTGGGACAACTTAATCCGCATTCACACTTGAAAGCCCAGTAAAGTGCTTACTAACAAACGAGACCTCTTGTTGTTAAGGATGAAATGTGTACTTACCACACCACCATTGTTAGTTCCACCTCTCATTCAAAACCAAAACTGAAACAAATTTATACCTACACTTACCCGCATTGGTACCACTAAATCGGTATTCACGCTGGAAAGTACCTAAAACCACTCCTTAACAAAGGCGATCCCGTATCCAACAGAGGTGAACACGAGACCTCTATTTAAATCCGAAAGAGTACATACCATTCCACCACAACCCTCCTAAATTACGCTACTGATATAAAACCAAACTTCAAACAAAAAGAAGTAAAAAAAATACATACTTGTTCCATATGACCTTGTGGGAAATAGTAAACCCTTTCTTCATTTTTTGGAACATCAACTAATGGACCTGCACACAATCTCCATAACTCTTGGCACAATTCATCTTCACCTGAAACTTTTTCCACAACAAATTCAAAAGTAAATATATTAACAACCAAAAAAAAACTGAACTTTTTTAAATAAAACCCCCAAAAAAAATTTAAAAAATAAATTAAGAATCAAACCTTCTGCTAAGAAATTGTGTTGCTGATGCTGCTGGTTTGACATAAAAGACCCTTGATTCTCCATTAAATGGAATTCTGAATAAAAAATCTACAATGGCTCAAGAAATAACTTTTTGTAGGCTAAAGTAACTTCATTTCTCTAAATGGGTATCATTTTTTTTGGCAATAGATGTTCTTGAACTATATTTTATATATATTTATGATTAAAAGTTTGTATCTTTGTCACAAATGAAAATTAGAAACAATTTTAGAATTAGGAACTCTAAATCTTGCATTTACACAAGAATAAATTTCTTAATAATAATAAATAGAGTTAAAAAGAAAAAAAAATTGCATATTTGGACACCCTTTAAAGCGGAGGAGTTAAAGCTGAAAACTTTTCTAATTCCACCGGCGGTGACGGAAGCTGCCGGTGATCGGTGATAGTAACCGGCGTTAAAAAAACAGAGCTTTTTCTTGCTGTTTCAGAGAAGTAGACATACAGTGTTTTAATTTAAACATGTGTTTGGTTTAAAGTTATATATAATGCTTCGAAAAAAGTGTGAGGGTAGTTTTGTCAATTTGACATAATATATAAATATTTCTTTTAACTCGTCGTAATTAATAATATTTATATAAGTAGACATATAAATTTTACATAATATAATGCAATTGATTTTATGCAAATTGTTGTATAAGAAGCCACTGAGGATGTTACACATTCAGAGTTTGTATGTAAGTTTAAGTTTTTGTTTATGTACGTCAAAAAATTAGAGGGTTAAAAGAGTTTAGGGTCGGAGCCAGCCTTCTATTGGGGGTTCGACTCCCTTCGACAGAAAATTTTACTATTATACATGGTTAAAATTATATTTTATATACATATAATAGATGTTGAACCTCCTTCGATGAGTTTATGTGTTTAGTTCTTCAGATATTGAATCACCTTATTAAAAATTCTAGCTCTGTTGCTGAAAGAGTTATATATAAGCTTACGTTTATGTGTTATATATCTATTAATTTTGATGAACAAAATAGGGTGAATCCATCGACGTCTACTTAAACTTATAAATAAATTTTATTCAATATTCATATTATAATATATTTCAATTTAAACATTTAAATACATAATAAAATGTTAAACAGCTTCGACTCATATTTTAGAAAAAATTATGCATGCATTTTCAAGTGTCATGACATAAATAACTTACATAATTAAATATAACATATCCTTTTAATTATATGAACCAACATCAATTAAGACACGTTCTAAAGATTTACAACTTGTTAGATGAATGTTCCTACCATTCGTGGTGGTCCAGTAGTTTGAGCTTGATATTTTCATGTCGATAGTCTCAAGTTCGAAGTTCCTTGTCAGCAAAAGTAAGAAGTTTATCTTCTGAATCGAGCTCGTCACTTCAGCCTTTTGTCACTTTTGATATATCATGAAAAAATAATTATTTTTTTCATACTTCACCTTCATCATTAAATACTTATTTTTAAATTACTTTTACAAACCTAATATTAAACATCATTTTATAAAAAAAAAATAATAATAAAATACTTATATTAATAATTATTTTCGTAATGAATGTATAAGTCAAATCGTGATAAATAATACACATATGTTTAAGTGTTCGATAAAAAACATAAACCAGCTTAAGTGAATACTTGTAACTTTTGTAAAGGTATTTTTTTTTCATTAAGAGAAAATGGATAAAGAATAAAAAGAAACCAATAAAATTACGTTTAAATGCGTTCTTGTCTACTGTTTGCTCCTCTTTTGTTTCATAATAATAAAAATATTATTTTTATATAATAATACCTAACTTTACAGATTGACACCTGTATTTCAATTTATATTGAGTATATTTATGTAAAGACAATCATGGGCAAATAGGAATATTTACTAGTCAAGTGGATATTTATTTAACCCTCTTAATATTTTGTCTACATAAGCAAATGATGATTATTGGAAGTTAAAGGAAAAAATAATAATTGAGTGGCATACATTATATATCCCTAGGATTAGATTAAAATGGAGAGTCTATCAAAAGTAATATTTTTATTTTACACATAAAAGTAACAAAAATCATGTACGTTAAATATATTATTATTATTAGATTAAATATTAAATATTCTTTATTTTACAAATAATTTGAATCAAAAATAATAGATTCAGTTAAATCTGACTTTGGCATAGGTTTAGCTTGCCACTTATTAACTAGCAATGAATTTTAAAAATTTTAAAGTAGCAGATGATGACACAAGGCATGACGTATAAACCATGGCTTCAATGTTTAATATATTATATTTATTTAGTGGTGTTTCTTTTTGTTGTAAACATTAAACTTTTAGTACAAAAAAATAGAGTTAATTATATTATGTTAACAAATAACAGGACAGTTTCATGCTACTTTATTACTATGCCATATGCATCTTTCTCTTGACCAATATTATTAGTTGGAGTATCTTTTTCTTTAATTTGTTTTAGAGGTTAGATGAGGATCTAGAGTGGGAGTAGGAAGCAAAATTGACTGATTTTCTTGATTATTATTTTTTAGTGTTCAATGAGTAAGTAAATAAAAGAAAATATTATTTTAAAAAATATTTATATATAATCTGACAAAATATTATACGAATTAATAAAGTGCTGAATAAGAAGCGGGAGTGGAATAAGAAGTGGTGAGGAGTGAGAATGAGATGATCAAGAAATGAGAGTTGGGGGACATAGATGAAAAGGAAATTTATAAAATTTTATTTCTTTGAAATTATTTCATATCTCGCATAACTATAACAATAATTGTGTGAAACTTCGTCTTATCTAACAAGTTAATGAGATCCAAAATACAGAATTCGAACATACGAAATTGGATCCACCTATTTGTGAGACAAAAATAAGCCTCACATGATTAGAATCTTATCTATCCTTTCTTATATATATATTTTAACAACGATATTCATTGTTTCAGTATAATGTTGTCACGATCCAAATTCATGACACATACTATTCAATTGGACTCAATATAACAAGCCTTGTGGATTTGTCTTTAGTTCTACGTCATTATAAAATTAATTTAAGCACATATAAAATTAATATTATGTCATGTAAAATCTTTCACTTTTTTTTATATAAAATTTATTTATGATCTGATATATCCCCATCTTTAATAATTTATTAGTTCTTTCCCTTACCTAGCCCTCTATTATGAGCGTCATGATTTTGTGCATACTTCGATTATTTTGTCATATACTTATTAGTAAGGTACCTTTTATTAACCCGAATATCGAATAATAATTTTTGGTCCAGTAACTTTTATATATTAAAAAGATGTTTCTCCTAGAATTTGAATTCTAATTTTTAATTAATTTATCAATTATTAGATCACATCTCGACCCAAAAAAGAAAAACTTCTACATAAGATCTTTACACTTTCCTATTACATTAAGTTAATATAAATAAGCATCCAATTATATCTTTATCATAAATATATAAAGTTAAATTAAAATTTGTAAGAAATAAAATAAAATTGATCTATGGTTTTTGCTCACTTGGACTACATAATTGTAGATCACACCTGACTAATGTTTGGATTATCTTATGGGCTTTAAAATTGGGCTTCCCAAAGTCCACTTTTGCTTCGGCCCATACTACTATTGTGTTTGTAAGGAAATATAAGGAGATAATTGTATAGAAGCTATCGTTTGATTTATTTGTGTTCCATAGCAAATTGTTTTTCAGTCATTCTCTCCCTCATATTCTTACTCGCCACTCTCCCTCTCTCGCTCGCTTCCTGTGCTCGCCTCTCTCGCTTTATACAATAGAATTGTATAAATTGTGTTTCTAATTGTATAAAGTAAGGAAAAATTGTATATACACATGCAAATACATATATTTTCGTCCTATACACTTATAATTATACAATAAAAGTACTCCCCTACCCAATTCTCTTTTGTCTTTCTCTCTTTCTCATTTTATACAATTCAAATTGTATATAGTTTCTCTCTTTCTCATTTTATAAAATTTGATTCAACTGTATATTCCCTGCCCAAGTCTCTTTTGTCTTTCTCTCTTTCTCATTTTATACAATTCAATTCTGTCTTTCTCGCTTTCTCGTTTTATACAATTCAATTCTGTCTTTCTCGTTTTATACAATTCAAATTGTATATAATTTCTCTCTTTTTCATTTTATACAATTCGCTTCAATTGTATATGTATATCAAATTACACATATATAAGTTTATGGAGTGTAATTATGAAAAAATTGATATAATATACAAATATAAATTTTATGTTTGCAATATGTGAAAGTTGTCCAAATATTAACCTTTTAATGTGCAAGAAAAAAAATTTACAAGAGAAAAATCGTATCGATTTGATCCAAACAGATAATATCATGTCATTATTATAAGTATTTGGATTGAATTAGCACAACAAATAATATCTAATAGAATTAACAATTTAGTAATGGCGTGAGATTGAACATAATGTTTTTGCATCATCTAAAACTGATTTATTATCTCTAATTATAGCTTTCAAGATGCATCGTGCATAGATTTACATACACCAATAAAGAAGAAGTGTCCATTAGATCATGATTCATGTAAAATTTAGTTTGAGAAAAAAATTGTGAAATTAGTGAATAAAATTTCATATTAATATTTAAACCAAAAGAAGAAGTTACTTATATAAGGATAAGGATCTGAAAAATATCTTAATTTTGGTCGAATTTGTTATTGCGATACTAAACTTTTATGAAGATCTATTATCTCTTTTAACTATTTAATAGTGTATTTATTACCCGTAAACTATTTAATAATTTATTTTAAAGGTATATATATGTCCACATGGACATTTGCCATTTATAATTTGACAATTTTTTTTATATCCACATGAGCAAATATATATGTTTAAAATAGAATATTAAATAATTTGAAGATAATAGGTCCTCATAAAAATTCAATATCACAATAATAAATTCAACCAAAATTAAAATATTTTTTAGACTCTTATCCCTAATATATAATAAATTGTCAATGATGCAAAATCTTTTTTTCCATAAAAAAATTAAACTAATTTAATTTAAACGGTTAATACCCTATCATGTTAATCGTTTAAAAAGAAAAACTTGGAAGTAAACTTTGGGTTGACTGTATCCACATGAATTAACATGTCTAAGTTCATCCTTTGCAGATAACTAAAATTTACTCGTATCACATATTTACATCAATTTAATATATATTATGTATCTAAATTTATAGTTTATTTTACTTTAATTCAATTAATAAACTATATTTTAATTTATTAAATTACATAATAATAAAAATTAAATTAGTTTTTCTCTTACGGATTATTGAAGCTTAACTTAGCAACTAAGTAAAACAATAAATAAACAAATAAATACATATAAATGGATAAATAAGGAATATGACCTCACCCATTTGCTTTTTTCTTAATTTTGAAGCCCAACCTAATAGAATAAATATGATCTTCTAGATGGATGTTAGAGAATATGTGAATAATATAACATATTTGCTCAATTGTTTGAAAAATAAAATATTCTTTTTGGAAAAAATGGTTATTTTAAAAAGTTGAGTTATTGAAGTGATATATATATAGGATATGTGAATAGTATAACTTATTTGGTCAATTGTTTGAAAAATAAAATATTCTTTTTGGAAAAAATGGTTATTTTAAAAAGTTGAGTTATTGAAGTGTTTGATATATATATATATACACACATACTGGTTTTCAGAAGCATAAAGAGTAGCATTTTCCAAGAAATAAATTTAAAATCTTAATTAAGCATAAATTAATATTATTATATTAATAAAAAATTATTCAAATTTATTAATTAAAATATAATTGATTATGTTAAATAGTATTTTTAAAATATATTTTACTTTTTTCTTCTAACTAAACATATTCTGAAATCCATCATATTGTGGTTCTCTTCTAATTATCTCTTAATTGTCACCTAACCCTTAATTGACATTAAGTTCAACTCTTACAAAGCTAATTTCAAACACTAAGTTCTTTCGACTAACAATTATTTTCACGCAAACTTACTTAATTTTTATTTTCAACTCAAAAGTCCATAATTATTTTTTGGGAAAATGTATAAGTACCCCTCAATTTATGTCCGAAATCCTAAAGACACACTTATACTATACTAAAGTCCTATTATCCTCCTAAATTTATTTTATGAGTAATTTTTACCCCTTTTCGACCTAACCTAAGTATAACCTCACAAATCTTAGAAGAAATTACAAAAAAATCTCTACACCAATTGTTTGATCACATAGAAATTTCAAAAAATAAAATAAAATAGTTTGATGGTATAATTTAACTACTTATACATACATTAATTATTTTAATAATGACGTTTTGATTTAGTTTTTTCTTTTTCCTCTCTTGAGAATGAGTACATCAAAACTCAACTTTAATGTCTTTTTCTTCTAAACCGTGTTTTTGTGTCACCATTCACTCTTTTGATTAGCTCACCTAAAATCACTACTTCCTTCCTTTTGTTTTCATCAAAATTTCTTCTATTTTTCCTTTTTCAACAAATATACTTTTAGTTGTTTTGTAATATGTTTTTATATTGATAATATTTTTAAAAAGATGAATGCATATGATATTTTAGATAAATTTTGTATTTGAATAAGAGAAAACATAAATAATTTTATAAATTATATCACAAATATACTTATTACGCATGTTTTTAAGTTTGATAATAATATAATTCAAAGGGAAAACATTTGTTAGATATATTGGGCTACATAGGTTTAGAATATGAAAAAAAAATTATTTTGCACTAGACAAGAAAGAGAAAAAGGAAAAAATAAAATCAATTATGATATCACGAGATAAAATGAATTTGAATCTAATTCTGCTGACATACTTTGAATGGGAGCAACGTCGCGGCGACTCAATTAAAAAAAGATAAAAAAAATTTGGTTAGTTGAATTTTTAAAAAGGGTAAAGGGGTTAAAAGTGGTAAGAGGGGGTTAAAGGGAAAAGGGAGTCGCCACCTAATTTTTAGGAAAACTAGGAAACTGATTAACTAATTAACCTAAAAGAAATGCCTACGAAACCAATTTGATTCTAGGTAAGGGGTTCAAGTTATTCCGAAGGGATCCTTCGAAATCCACAACTGTGGTTCCCGACTGAGTTCATTTTTTCAAATTGAGGAGATAACAATAATATACCAATAATATAATATACAATAAACAATGATAATAAAATAAAACAACAACACGAGAAACGCCCTAAGGTTTGCCTAGCATCGATATATACAAAATATTGAATTGTAAAATATAATTCGAACTCCTTTCGAATAACTTTAATGAAACAAGTCTTGGGTACCTATAAACACGCTTAGTAAATGCGTTAGTAATAAATAAAAATGAATAAAATTGAATATATGAAATAATAAAATAAAAATCCATCTTACTAACATGGGAGACCTTAGAAATCGACGGTAATTTCTTCATCGGCCCTTTTAACAATTTAACAAACAAGTTATATGAACTTAAACTAAAAATTTCCGTCTTTTAATATTGGGGAGGCCTCCAAAATTGACGGAGAGTTTTTTCATTGGCCAATTAACAAATATATTTAATATAACCTGAACATCAACAAAACATAACAAACTTATCCCAAGAGAATATGGAAAACAATAACCAAACTAAAACAACATAATTAGAAATGGAAATAACAATGACGTAATATATAAAAATTAAAAATAACATTAAAATAGAATAATAACAAA